GTGCTCTTCCTGCTGGCGGTCATTCTGGCCATTGCCCTGCGCCTGAGGTGGTCCTCCAGCCACTCTGCCTGGGGGAGCTGCTTTCAGCCTGGTCTCAGTTCCGAGTCTGGACCTGGGGTACTTCCCAACTACAACGAAGGGACTTTGCCTTATTCCTACAATCTGTGCGTTGCGTCAGATTCAGCAAAGACCAAATTTAATTTTCCCAGTCTGACTCTGGAAATGGCTCCCCCTCAGGATCTCCTGTGTGAAGATTCCTCTATGGATGTATGTGCCAGCAATGAAGATTCCCAAGTAGCTTATGAATTCTCTTCTTCAGCTCACGTGAGTTTCTGCAAAACCACTTCAATTTTATTTTTGTATTATTTCATTTTCATTCAAATTTAGTATTTCAGTCATAATTACTTGGTTATTTTTCATTGTTCTGGTGTTGGTGGTTGAACTGGGGTGTTGGATGGTGGCTCACTTCTGGATGAGTTCCTTGATAGCTCCGTAGTTTTGGCAGTTACCTAATTACTAATTCTCAATCTACACTTTTGTCATTTCTGTATGGTCAGCAAATCTTGCTAAAGAGAGCTTTTCTTGGATATAATCACCTTCATTGATAACAATGCTCTTTCCTAGTTGATGTGTGATAATTTACTCAAGCTTTTTTAATCTTCAATTTTTTCAAGCATTACTCTTTATAATTGTATTGACAGAACTTTCTATCCAAATTAAGGTTATTTCATCATCATCAAATACAATTCAATTGTTTATTTTTGGCTGCAATATATTTATGTAGTCATGCAGTAATTCAGGTCTCTTAGCACTTCTTTGATTTGTCACATTTAGCAAAGATTGTTGAATTTTATGAGTCACTTTTGATCCCATTTCATTTTTTAAAAATATTTGTTTATTGGCCCTCTCTGGTGGCGCAGCGGGTTAAAGCACAGCACAAAGAAGCTTAAGCCACTTCCGCATGAGTTCGATTCCCGCCTGCCCTGGAGGTGACCACATGGCGAGGCAGACCTCTCCTGACCCGCCCGCTGCTCCCCTCAGCAGTGTACTTCGTCGATCTGCCTGTTCTGTACCCCACTCTGTCTCTGATGAATCCTCTCACCCCCTGCATCTCTGGCCTCTACCCCAGTTCTGTACAAATAAATAAATCTTTAAAAAATATATTTGTTTATTTTTGCATATAATAACTGGGGTAAAGGCCAGAGGTAAAGGTGCTGAGAGGATTCACTAGAGACATAGTGGAGAGCAGAACAGGCAGATTGAAACACACTGCTGAGGGGAGTAGCAGGTGAGACAGGAGAGCCCTGCTGTGCCATGTGGGTCAGCTCCCTGGCTGGGGATCAAACTCATGCTGCAGTGGCTGTGTGCATTCATAGTGTAGCACTTTAACCCCTTGTGCCACCAGGAAGTCTCCAATGAATATAATTTGTACAGAAAGGCTTTTCCACATTTCTTTAGTGTATAGGTTTCTGAGAAGTGAGTCACTTATTTTCCAAAGTCTGAAGATTTAAAAATTCTGACTAGTTAATGGATTTTTGTGATTGGTAAAAATTGATGAGTAATTTCTAAAATCTAATTATTATGTAAAGAATAACCACAAGGGCCCTCCCTGGTGGCGCAGCGGGTTAAAGCACATCACTGAGAAGCTAAAGCCACTTCCACATGAGTTCGATTCCCACCTGCCCTGGAGGTGACCACATGGCGAGGCAGACCTCTCCTGACCCGCCCGCTGCTCCCCTCAGCAGTGTACTTCGTCGATCTGCCTGTTCTGTACCCCACTCTGTCTATGGTGAAGCCTCTCGCCACCCCTGAGCCTCTGGCCTGTACCCCAGTTCTGTATGCACAAATAAATCAATTAATTAATTTAAAAAAATTCTTACCAAAAAAAAAAAAGAATAACCACAAGAATGGGATCCTAATTACTTTATCTCAGGGTTTCTCAGATTCGTGAATTAGGTATTTATTTTAAAAAAAAAAGATGTATGAAACATGCTCTGATAATAAATGCAACTACTGAAATATTTCCTCCTACTGATTATTTCTAAAATAAACAAATAATAAAGTAAACTTACAAATAATAGCAAAGTAATGCCCTTCCTAATGTCTTTAGATAAAATATTGTTTTCTCTTTATAATGCTTCAGTCAAACTTTTTGTCCTCCTTACTTTTGTTACCTATTTTTAAATTTGAATTCTTTACCCATTATTTTAGGTTTTTGCAATGGCATCATGCAACCACTCACTAAACATTGAAAGTACACTCTATGAAAGGTGTTTTTCTAAAGTTTGAGGACACACTGTGAACATGTCAGTCACAGTAATATCTTGTGACTTAGAAGCTTCTGTATACAAAGTTGATGAAAAACTTACCTTCCGAACCTATTAAATTTACCAAGCCTACTTCCACAGGGGAATGAAATTAGTTCCTGAATAGTATATATTTTTCTTACAAGGGAATCAAATAGTTGTCTCATTCTAAAGGATCAATTCATGTGTGGAAATTTGTTGTTGCACAAGTCGGGACTGGAGTCCAGGTCTCCAGCTTTCCAAACACTGTCTTTTCTCCTAGCTATTTTCCCATTCTACAAGCCAATCCTTGTTCCTGGGAGGGAGAAAAGTGTCCTTCACACAATACACTGTATACAAAGACGGCCTAGAAGAATAAATAATGCAAAAAACTTAAAAGAGGTAGAAAATGTTTGGGGCGGGGGAAATAGTCTTTGCAGGGGAATATAGGATGCGAAAAGGAAAAGTGTACTTAAACCAGTAATGCTTTATCAGACTAGATTGCAGTAACAGGTTAGGACTCTGGGTGTCGCTGTTCACCAATCAAGGGAGGGGAAAGAAATTTAATCCGAACCACAAGATTTCTGCATCACAAAGCACTGGCCCTAGGGCTTTAAGAAAGCTTCAACCTGGATCCCTGCGAGTTCCAACACCCTACGGGGAAATCACCGTATCTTGGACCCCAAAAATCTGGATGTGAGCCCTGGGAGCTCCTCTGGTGTCACTCACAACCCAGAGCAATCTCTTCTGCGGCGGAGCTGTCATGGAGGCTTCTCGGCATCGCTCAGACTTCAGCCTGCTGACCAGAGTGTGCATTCTTCTGGGAATCCTGTGGAAAATCAGAGCCGAGCAGATCCACTATTCCGTACCTGAGGAGCTGGAAAAGGGCTCTTTCGTGGGCAACATCACCAAGGATCTGGGGCTGGGCCCCCGGGAGCTGGCAGAACGCGGAGTCCGCATCGTCTCCAGAGGTAGGACGCAGCTTTTTGCTCTGAACCCGAGAAGCGGCAGCTTGGTCACCGCGGGGAGGGTAGACCGGGAGGAGCTCTGTGACAAATCTCCAAAGTGTGTATTAAGTCTGGAGATTCTCCTAGAGGACAAAGTGAAGATTTTTGGAATAGAAGTGGATATAATCGATGTGAATGATAATGCGCCCGATTTTGGTACAGAGCAAAGGGAAATAAAAATCTCTGAAAGTGAAAATCCTGGGACAAGATTTCCTCTTCCTGAAGCCTTTGATCCAGATGTAGGAGTAAACTCTCTGCAAGGTTACCAGCTTAGCTCGAATAGCCACTTCTCCCTGGACGTGCAGAGTGGAGCTGATGGAAGTAAGTACCCTGAGTTGGTGCTGGAGCGAGCCCTTGACCGGGAAAAAGAAGCTCACCACCATCTGATTCTCACCGCCTTCGATGGAGGCGACCCGGTTCACTCTAGCACAACCAGAATTCACATAACACTTGTGGATACCAACGATAATGCACCCATATTCACTCAACCTGAGTACTATGTGAGTGTTCGGGAAAATGTACCAGTGGGATCCCGGTTACTCACCATAAAAGCCACGGATCCAGATGAAGGAGCCAATGGAGAAGTGACATATTCTCTCCGGAAAGTAAGAGAAAAAATATCTCAGTTATTCCAGTTGAATTCTCTGACTGGGGACATAACACTATTGGGGAATCTAGATTTTGAGGACTCTGGATTCTATGATATAGATATAGAAGCCCACGATGGACCTGGTCTCAGAGCCAGAAGTAAGGTCCTGGTGACAGTTCTGGATGTAAATGACAATGCTCCAGAAGTCACAGTTACATCTCTCACCAGCTCTATTCAAGAAGGTTCTTCTCCAGGCACAGTAATTGCACTTTTCAATGTGCATGACAGTGATTCCGGTGAGAATGGCCTTGTCACATGTTCCATTCTGGATAATCAGCCATTTACACTTGAAAAGACCTATGGGAATTATCATCGGTTGTTGACACACAGAACTCTAGATAGGGAAGAAGTCTCAGAATATAACATCACAGTAACTGCCACTGACCATGGAACTCCACCACTCTCTACAGAAACTCACATCTCATTGCACGTGGTAGACATCAATGACAACCCACCTTCGTTTCCTCATGCTTCCTACTCAGCCTACATTCCTGAAAACAACCCTAGAGGAGCCTCCATTTTATCCCTCGTTGCCCAGGACCCTGACAGCATGGAGAATGCCAGAGTCACTTACTCCCTAGCTGAAGAGACACTCCAGGGGGTCCCTCTGTCCTCCTATGTCTCCATCAACTCTGATACTGGTGTCCTATATGCACTGAACTCCTTTGACTATGAACAGATGAGAGATCTACAACTACTGGTGATAGCCAGTGACAGTGGGGACCCTCCACTCAGCAGCAATGTGTCACTGAGCCTGTTTGTGCTGGACCAGAACGACAACACACCTGAGATCCTGTACCCTGCCCTCCCCACAGATGGATCCACAGGTGTGGAGCTGGCACCCCGCTCCGCAGAACCTGGCTACCTGGTGACCAAGGTGGTGGCGGTGGACAGGGACTCAGGCCAGAACGCCTGGCTGTCCTACCGCCTGCTCAAGGCCAGCGAGCCAGGGCTCTTCTCAGTGGGGCTGCACACGGGCGAGGTGCGCACTGCGCGCGCCCTGCTGGACAGAGATGCGCTCAAGCAGAGCCTGGTGGTGGTGGTGCAGGACCACGGCCAGCCCCCACTCTCGGCCACGGTCACGCTCACCGTGGCCGTGGCCGACAGCATCCCAGACGTCCTGGCTGACCTGGGCAGCATCAGCACCCCCGCCGACTCTGAGGATTCCGACCTGACCTTGTACCTGGTGGTGGCGGTGGCCGTGGTCTCCTGCGTCTTCCTGGCCTTTGTCATCGTGCTCATGGCGCTCAGGCTGCGGCGCTGGCACATGTCACGCCTGCTCCAGGCTTCAGGAGGCGGGTTGGCAGATCTCCCTGCCTCGCACTTTGTGGGCGTGGACGGGGTGCGGGCTTTCCTGCAGACCTACTCGCATGAGGTCTCCCTCACTGCAGACTCAAGGAAGAGTCATCTTATCTTTCCGCAACCCAACTACGCGGACACGCTCATCAGCCAGGAGAGCTGTGAGAAAAGCGAGCCTCTTCTGATAACTCAGGATTTTCCTGAAACAAAAGGAGAACCCAGTCTTCATCAGGTGAGTCTATCTTGACACGATGAAATAAAAGCTGCGATAATGTCTCTAGTTGTATAAGGTGTGTAACAGATTAAATAAAGGTACTTGCTTTTTAGTGCCCTTTTGTTCTAAAGGGAGGCATAGATCAATAACATTACCACTCCTGAAAGTTTTTTATTACCTATTCTTTGTAGTTTTCATTCAGTTATTGCTTAAGCATCATTTTCTTAATTTTACAACTCTTCTTCAAGTGTCATTTTCCTTTATGCAATACTGGAAGGATAGAGGAGAACTATGAAACAGGAGACAACTGTGTAAATTCCTTAAAGCATTCTCTTACAAAGCTGTTGATAAATCTAGACTGTTTTAAGTTTTCTACTGTTTACATGCTAACATACTTTTCTTGAAGTTTACTTTATTTTATATCATAACTAAGCATTGGTAATTTGTAAGTACTGAGGAAAATCTTAATTATTAGCTACAACTTGAGCAGAGATAGCTTCTCAAGTGAACTGGTATATTTGAAATATTTTGCTCTTACTGTTATGAGGTGCCCCAGCAGTGACTATGTGTGATTCCTTTGGTGCTTTCTGTGATTACAATAATGTTGTCCATTTTGTTTCACTCATTTAAGTAGGTCATAGGAGTAACTTCAGTAATTTTAAATTGCTTTTATGACACTGCTGAGACCCTTCTCATTTTCTGTGGAAAACATAGCTTTCAGAAATCTTTTCCTTGTCATTATGGGAGCCATTTAGAAAGGCTGGATAACTTAGATTCTAACTGGTGTGATTTATGCTGTATGATGACAGATCGCATTGTTGTCTCTGCAAGTTGTTCTCTGGTAGCCAAGTTACTGTGTGGCTCCAGGATGATCTGATATAGTGGGAAAATGTTTTATATGCAACACTTTGTTTCTTGTGTTTTCATTTAGTTCTGTGAGTTAACACAGAAATGTCTAGAACTACACAAGTTAGTGATCTTTGAACTTCTGAAAGTGGTAGCACTCCATTTCACACTGTGCCTCAATGCAACCTAAGAATTTTAATTTCAAAGTGCTTTTGTCTTCATGAAAAGCAATGGTGTGATACTAGAGCTAAGCAAGATAAAATCAGCTGGTATGGGGAAAGGGGAGAGGCAATAACAAGTGAACATTGAGAGATAAGTAATTTCTGAGATGAGATTATGTAAAACACTGAAGCTTTAAAAATATAATTTGGAAATGTCAATTAGTCAGAAACTCTGTCAAACATTTGGATGCTGGTTCTAGGAATGTACTCCAGAGTCAGAATGATACATGTTTTAAATGTGTAGGAGACCAGTAGATAACTTATAGCCTACTATCATAAGGAAAAATTCTTTGTTTTAGTGGGCACTAGGTTTGTTTTAGAAAATAATGTTTTAGTGAAATAAATTATACTATGAGATGAACTACTACTTAACTCTAAAAAATAAATGGAAAACCTCTTTGTGTACTGATGTGAAATAATAAGCATGACATAATGATTGAAGAAAGAAAGATGCATATCACATATGTATTTGTATTTTTGTATAAAAGCAGGAGAGAACCTTTATTTTAAAAATTGCGCTATACAAAACATCTCTGGATTGATACACACCCCCAAAATGCAATACTCATTACCCCTCCGTGAATGAGTTGTTAAAAGTAGCTAGGGGAAGCCATAGAATATGCAGTATATGCCATTTAATTTTGGAATTACGTGAATGTGTACCATTTTAAAAACAAATAATCTTTACAAATCCAAATGAAAGAAAGAGGTTCTTTGTGAAACACAAGTCTCCGGTGCAGTTTCACTGGAAAACCTCTGGGCGTCGCTGTAGGTCAAAAGACGAGAGAAAATGACGGACACCTTTGGGATCCTCTTAGCAGGGTAGACTCCTGCTGAAATCAACCCCCCTGAGGAGGCCATTACAGACTCCGGTTCAGTACAAAAGCAGAGACAGTGACCCTACGCCGATTTTACCGTCCACGGCGGGCCATTCCTCTCCCTGGCCAGGAGCAGAGCAGCAGTGGGGGGAGACAGAGGATGAGGCAGAGCCCAGAGAGGAGCAGCACGGCGCGATGGCGGCAGGTACTGTTTGCCTTCCTGCTGTCTTTATTCCGCGGGGCTCACGCAGAGCAAATCCGATACTCCATTCCCGAGGAGCTGGCCAAGAACTCAGTGGTAGGACACCTCGCCAAGGATCTGGGGCTTAGCGTTGGGGACTTACCAGTCCGGAAGCTGCGAGTTAGCGCTGAGAAGGAATATTTCGCTGTAAATCCTGAGACCGGGGACTTAGTTGTAAGCGACAGAATAGACAGAGAGCAGATTTGCAGGAAGAAACCTCAGTGTACTCTGGATTTCGATATTGTCGCTGAAAACCCACTAAATATTTTCCATGTAGCAGTAGTAGTGCAGGATATAAATGACAACACTCCGCTATTCAAACAGGAGAAAAATGAGTTAAAAATTGGAGAATCCACTAAGTCGGGTAAAACATTTCCACTAGACCCTGCCCTGGATGCAGATGCTGGATCGAATTCCCTGCAAAGATACCACCTTACTGAGAATGAGTACTTTGGTCTCCTGGAAAAACAGACTCCAGATGGACGTAAATATCCTGAGCTGATTCTGAAACATTCTCTAGACAGAGAAGAGCAAAATTTCCATCAATTGATCCTTACAGCAGTGGATGGTGGGGACCCACCCCAAAGCGGCACCACCCAGATCCAAATCCAAGTTACCGATGCCAATGATAACCCCCCGGTGTTCAGCCAGGATGTGTACAAGGTCAGCCTGCCAGAGGGGGTCCCTCCAGGCTCCCCGGTGCTTCAAATAACAGCCACTGACCAGGATGAAGGCATCAATGCGGAGGTCATCTATTCCTTTCATAATGTGGATGAACAGGTTGAACAATTTTTTAACTTAGATAAAAGGACAGGCAAAATCACAACAAAGGATAAGTTTGATTTTGAAACTGCTAACAGTTACACTCTCAGTATAGAAGCCAAAGACCCTGGAGATCTAGCAGCCCACTGCACTATCCAAGTTGAAATTCTAGACGAGAACGATTGTACACCTGAGGTGATTGTGACTTCAATATTTACTCCCTTACCAGAAGATTCACCACCAGAAACAGTAGTTGCTTTGATAAAAGCAAGAGATAGAGACTCTGGAGAAAATGGAGAAGTTTACTGTGGCATCTTGGGAAAGAAGGAGTTTATACTGAAATCTTATTCCAAGAACTACTACAAGCTAGTAACAGATGGGACCCTAGATAGGGAGGAGATCCCAGAATACAATATCACTATAGTAGTCACAGACAAGGGCAAGCCACCTCTCTCTTCTGCAGTAAGCATCACTCTGCACATAGCAGATGTCAACGACAATGCTCCAGTATTTCAACAGGCCTCCTACCTGGTCCATATAGCAGAGAACAACCCTCCCGGAGCCTCCATCGCCCAAGTCAGCGCCTCCGACCCCGACCTGGGACC